GGGGGGGCAAGGGATTCTCTGGTTTTTTGGGGCCGGGGGGGGGGGGCAACAGTGGGAGGGCTTCTACTGTCCTGGCCCCACTGCTGGGCCTCCTGATGGGACCTGGTATTTTTGGCCACTGTGTGACACAGAGTGTTGGACTGGCTGGGCCACAGGCCTGATCCAAGATTGGCTTCTCTTTATGTCCTTATGATATAAGCTGCTGCTTTTAATCCCCACTGGGGAGAAAACTAGCGCATAAATTAAGTAAGTAAATAAATACATTGGAATAACAACTCGTCAAATGTACCTCTGCAGCCAGTTTCTTCCCCAAGGCAAACACAATGGGGTGCATGTTGAGATCGGGGTCTTTACGAAAGCAGTTGGGCTTGGCGTGGTGCTGGAAATGCAGGTTATTCCACCATGTAGCTGGCATTCCCTGTAAGAAAGGAGAACATGGAACTGAGTAAAACTCAAGCTCACAGGGCTACTGAAGAGGAAATTGTTTTCCTCACTGCTCTAAGGCAAAGGATACCTACTTTCACGACACCCATTAAGATTGTGTGTACCCGATGATTCCACTTTGAGTTGCTAAAGACAGAAAGGTGTCCTAAGTCATGCTGGAACCAGGACATCTGGCACTGAAAGAGAAAAGTGGGAGTTACAAAAACAATTTTACTACTCAGTTCACGCGGAACAAAAGCAATGAAGAGCTACTTTACATCTGCAGGTGTCAAACCCATTTTGTTTCGAGGGCCAGAATTGACATAAACGTTAATTTGTCAGACAGAGCCACGTGTGTCATCAAATGTAACACCAGCTACCGGAGATATAAACTTTATAAATGACACAGGGAAACTCAATTAACAATATTATTTTTTACTCAAGATACAAACAAAATGAATTGATTCCTAGGAGTAAAAGCTGGGAAATCCACAAAAGCTCCAATAAGTGTATTTAATCATATGCAAGACTGGGGTTTTATCCAAGGGATACAATAAAGGGGGGGGGGGTAATCTTACATTTCCATACAAGTTAAGTTCCTTTTTGTATATCTAGCACTTTTAGGAGATGAATCATCTACCTTGCAAGTAAATAAGGTGGTTTTTCAGCAGCACCCCCATCCGCCCAGCCTCAGCAGCCCAGCCCGGCTATGATACGTCTCTTGTTTCCTCTTTTCCCCCATCTGACCTCTGAGGATCTGGAGGAGGCACACCGGACCCATCCGCACCACCCTCCCCCACCCCATCCGCACCACCACCAACATCCCTGTGAGGTGGTCCGGGCTGAGTGACCAGCCCTGGGTGACCCAGACGACAGGGTCCTGGCTCAGGAGGGAGGGGTCTGAACCTGACTCCCCCCAACCCCCCCCCCCCCTGCCAGTTCTCACCCTCCCTGCATTTCCCACAGAAGCAGCGAGGCTGAGGTGAAGCCTCATGAAGAGGCTGTCTCCAAAACCTCCAGGGGGATGCTTTTTGTCCTCTATCAAGCCCCTTTCCCTTCACGGGCGGAGGACAGGTGTGGGGAAGGAAGGTTGCTGTCCCCCACCTTCCCTGACACTCATTTTGCCTCCCGGTTCCACGGCTGTCCAGATGTGTGGTGGCAACAGCAACTCCCCCTTTTAACTTCATTCCTCTGCCTGCCTCCGAGGCCGAGACATCCGTCCCCTCAGAGCGGCACACGTAAGACAGCCCAGTCGCCTCCCAATCCACGCACCGGTCTTCTTCCTCTTTCTCTCTCCCCTGCCGGTCCTGTCCCCCCGTTGGCAAACCGCTGCTCCGTGTGCCTGTTCTCGCGAACCCCCCCTTACGGTCTCCATTTGGGGTGGCAGTGGTGGCATCGGCCGCTCAGCTCTGCCCCCCCACGTAGTGGCTTCACCAATCCCCACTCAGCTGAGGTTGGAGGAAGTGGGAGGGAAAAAACAGCACACCTCTTCCTTTGCTTTCGCTGCCATTCCTACCACACTATTTTTTGGTCAGCCTCATAGTCCTTCCCCCTAGCAGTTTCCGTTCTATTTCTTGACTGCTGCAACCACACATACCTCACTGCATGTACCCACTCACCCCCCCCCCGCAAGCCTGCCTTCCCTCCCTCGTACCAGTTGCTCATGGGACAGATAGAAGCCCTGGATAGGCCAGGACCAGCCCCCGGGCCTTATGTTTGACACTCCTGGTCTAGACAATCATCACACCATGCTGCATCCTCTCTCCAAGGATTCCTTTCAAAACTGATTAAAGTAGATTCTAAAGACATCATGTAAGTATATGTAATCTACAGAAATGAAGGCCATGCCCGATACAGTTCCTTTTAGGTAGGGACACACTGTCCATCACTTGTTTTTTTAAAGATGCTGGGGCTCAGCTATGAATACACTCTGTATCACAATTAATCATTGCTGAGGACAAGCATTTCAACTGCACATCCTCAAAGCAACCTGAGGGCAAAAAGAAAAGGAGCCCCCACATAACTACGTAATTTGGGAAACTCAAGTTCCAAGACCTGCCTCCATTCTCTGGAAGAGATCCTACAGCCCTAAACACCAGTAAATACTGTTTGCATTGGAGCACTTGGTATCTGTATTATGCCTGGGGTATCCTCTCATTTGCACAGGGAGGGAATGCCCAGCATTCTCTTGGTTTTCCTGTCCTGCCTATTCTGATTATATCATGCAGGGAGAGGTCCACAAGCCTTGAACAGCTTTGCCAGAGATTCTAGCTGTCTGGATAAAAAATAAAACAAAACACCCCTACTGAATAGTAGTAATAATGTCTGTGATACATGCTAGCCGGGTTTAAGCAGTCTCCTGTCAAATCTTCCTTAGCTTTGCTCGCTTAGGTTGTCAAGAGTTATTGGTGGGGAGGGAATTCCTGCGGGGAGGGGAGTGGGGTGCATATGTTGAGTGAGTGGGAACCTTTGCTTTTAGGAGCCATAACTTTCCTTGCAAGATGTGCTTCCTCTCTCTTTCCCTGGGAGGGGTGTCCTTGAAGCTTTGGTACCAGCTTTAGCAGAAGATAACCAAGCCATATATGTTCTCACTTGGTTGGGATGGCAACGCTAGGCGTGGTATGCGTGATGTGTGCATGAGGGGAAGGGAAGGGCCCCTGTTTGAATTACCTGTATTAAGCATATGCCCGCCAAAATCTTCAGTTCTAACACAAGTGATGTTCTGGATCAAAGTTTATCTCAATAAACATATCACTGCCAAAGAGAGTGTTGTTCACTGGGAGTCTGACATCTCCCCTCCCCCATCTATAATAAGGTATATGTAAAATGGGATTTTAATGTGTCAGAAATGATCCTTAGAAATGAAACAATAATAATCCAGGTACTGAGATCCCAGTCTTAGGTCACTTCCACATGGAGTTCTTTCTCTGCAAAAACCCCCCCCCCCACTGCAGTGTTTTTTAATTTCAGCTTCTGAATGAATATAGTTATATGTTCACCAACCTTGTGGGTTTTCACTGGCTCCACCGTGTTTTCCACAAACCTGCTTTGGTATGATCCTTTCCAAAGCAGATTTGGGGAAACTGTATGGGAAAGTGTGCATTTCTGTATCTCCTCACCCACATTTGACATCATTCCCCTAGCATCTGCCATCCCTGACAGATAGGGTGTTTGTTTTTTTAATTAATGGTAGTAGACATATTGCTATACTATTCTGACATTTTCCCTTTATATCTACTCCCAATTAAAAAAAGAAAAACACACCAATAAGCATGCCAAGTGACAGGGGATATGGCAGGCTGGAGGGGAGCCTCAATTGCTACTTTGAATGCATCTACAAAGAGAGGGAAAAGGGGGATCCATCTGTGCACAAGCCACCTTAGTGGGCCTAAATCAGATTCATCTACAGGTTCATGAAAAGACCAGCAAAAGTTCAGCTTTTCACTTCTTGACTTAAACAGCAGCCCACCCACTGTTTTGAAAACTGCCAGAAGTCTTTGTAAAAGGTTAAACCTGCAGTACCACAAAGAACTAGTTGTGTGGGCCCATGGACCTTTGCCTAAATTTGTGAAACCCTTTGAATTCTTGAAAGTGTATGGAAGATGAGGCTAATTTCCAGGATTGTACAGAACTTTCAGTACTGTACCTGAGCAGTAGTAAATAATGCAACACCTATGAAGAACGGTACTAAAGATGATCCAAAGTACCAGATGGTCAACCAGGCACCAATATCCAGTAGCACAATATGAAGGAAAATCAGAAAGAAGAAGAGACTGTTGGGCTTCAGGAGTCCCATGTTCTCAACAGTGGACCGCAGCTTCCGGAAGTCCTCTATGATCGATTGCTGTGGGAAAACACAAAGACTTTCTCTCTCTTGTTTCATGTGCTACAGTCTCACTTGACAGGGGGACAAACAACAGGCAGTTGAGAGGACCCCCCCCTTCCCTTTGAGACTGTCATTCAGAAGGTTGGGATTTTTAAAGGATAATTTCAGTTCATCATCATAGGGATACACAGCTTGCTCAGCCCTAATACCTGCTGCAGTTTCTGCAGTGCTAAGTACTATACTATGGCATAGCCTTTATTGCCAACTCTGATGATCTGATCACCACAACATTTGAGGAAACTCCTGGTTTTCTGTATCTACACATCTTCATTGACTTGTATCATTAAGCAGAAGCCCCAAGCAGTTTGAGATTATCTATCCGTAGTACAGGGCTTACAGTTAATACCATAGTTTATGCAATTGATTTCTTAGCTCCTTCTCATCAAGAACTGATAAGCGAAGTGAAGATCAGATTGCTTATCTCTTATTGCTGTTCTTCAAGTGGTTATCTCTGTATTTGCAGTGATGAGCTTTGCAGCTACACAGAACTATGAAGTGGAAATTTCTAGAACTAGATACATCTCTGAGAGTTATGGGATTTTTCATGCCTAAAATCAATGATGAGTTTAATTGTTGTGGTTTCTCCCCACAAAATGCTGGGATCTGATGAGGATGGTGAGATTTCTCCAATAGTTGGGTTGAGGCCAGTGTTCCCTCTAAGCTGAGTTAGTGTGAGCTAGCTCACAGTTTTCTAGCCTCTGGCTCACACGTTTTTGTCTTGGCTGAGGAAGGATGGCTTCAGAGCAAACTAATTTATGCAGTAGCCAAATCGCTCGCTCACAACTTTAATGCCAGTAGCATTTTTGCTCACAAGACTCCACAGCTTAGAGGGAACATTGGTTGAGGCGGCGGACGTCCAATCCATTCCGGCCTCCCCCGTACACAGTCTTTGTCACTGTATTTCATCCAAACTGACCCGGCTAGAAGACTGTCAACTGCAGGAGGCACTGGAATTCTCCATCTTGTTGCTGTGTGCCATCGTTGCTATTATCTGTTCATTTTAAACTTGTCTTAGTTTTTATGTTAAATGTTTTTATGGTTGTTAACCTATATATTGTTACCCCGCCCTGAGCCTGCTTGCGGGAGAGGGCAGGATATAAATAAAATCAAAACAAATAAATACAATATTTAGAGAGGCCTAACCCTCCTAATTGGGGCTGTATTTCCACACTTCCTTGGAAATGCATTCTTGGCCAGTTTAAGATGGCAAGTCCCCAGTCTGGAAAACGCAAAACCTTGCACATTGTCTTGTGTAATTTCAGATGGTCTTAATAAAAGGTATTACATAGCTTTTGTTTTTTGTTTACTTGGGAATAGGTTCATTGACTAGGGAGGGTATGAACAAATATGTTTAGGATTGTGCAGCACAACTACAAGGATTGTGCTTCAACAACGTACAGCTTTATCAAAATGTTATGCAATATGATATGTATGTAAGGGTAAGAATTCTTAGAGGTCTCCTGCCAGGTTTCTTGATGAGAACTGTGAAGGCCTGGAAGAAAACCAGAAATATTTGGCAGAGACATTTTTGTCCACTCTACCATGATGCTAATTTTGCAAAATTTCCAAAGAAAAAAAAAGGAATTTTGAGATACATTAATAAAACTCCACCTAAGTATTTTATCTTTTGAAATAAACAAAATATTTTTAGAAAAAATACCCCCCCAATCAAAATTATGTGTTTTATGTTTTTAAAGCAGTAAAGTAAGTTTATGGTTGACAAAAACTAATACTGCATAGTTTTCATTTTCCCCAAAAGTCTGGTTCCCCCCCCCCCAAGAAAAAAATGCACATTTTACAACTTTGTTTCTGACCCATACATGCAACACTGCAGCCTCAAAAGCCCCTACAGCATTCTTGAGGTTGAATCATATAGATTATATAGAAAATTGCAGTTGATGTTTGAAGGAAGAGCATCTTGTGAGTTAGTTCACACATTAAATTTTGTAATAAAAGAGAATGCTAGGTTCATTTCATTTTTCTGCAGGATCTACTGGGCAAAGAGTTGCCAGCAGGCCTAGAGAAAATGACCTATCCCTTTGATAAAGACTGTATATGTGAAAATGAAGCTTTTCGTGGCTTGGAGACGAATGACAGACCATTAAGTCATTATTAAATATGGGAAAAGCAGTTTCCCCCCAATAAGTTGGTAACCCTAGCTGGTCATCTATCACACAGAAGAGAATAGGACCGCACTACAAATATAGAAAGTGTGGACATAAATATAGTAGCTACTGGCAGAAAGATTCCTCAATGTAGGTTTCAGGTCATAAGGCCACTATTCTACTTTTGGCTTCTTGGTTGCTGTATTATGGAATGCAGATGAGATTATGCTTTTAGAAATCCTAGAACACTGTACTGATAAAATAATATAATTCACTGTTCAGTGTGTCTACAGGCTCCAATCTTTTTGAGCCTGCAGGCACCTTTAGATTTCTGACTCAGGGTGGTAGGTGCAAGCACAAAATGGCTGCTACAGGAGGCGGAGCCAAACACAAAAGGCCAGGGAGTGAGGTTATGCATAATTCTAACAGCAAATCTTTGTCATCTTCAGGCAGTAGCTATGTTTAACAAGTTGCACTTTAAAATAAGCATATTGTTTAAAAAGTATTGTCTTGCTTACACACAGCTTACCTTCAATCATACAACCAATCTTCGGTAGCCAGTCAAAAGCCCTGTTGGGTACAAGCCCCATCTGCTAAAAACACTTGGTGGGCACTATGCTGGGGACCCCTGGTGTAGAGTTTCATATGCACCATGCACTGAGATGCCGTATTTCATCAACTAATATAAGTCTGGGTTATTTCATACCTCTAAACTATGAAATTACACATCATTTTCTCATTCTGACCTTGGGAGAACACTCACATTTTTGGTGGGCTCAGAGTTAGGTTGATCTGGTGCCAGCTCCCCAATCAGCAATGGCTTCAAATACTTGCTCACTTGGCCTTTGTCAAGGTGGAATGCCATGAATGCATCCTAAGGAGGGAGGAAAGGTCACAAAATGAAATATAATGATCCCTCCTGTTAGAAGATTGCCCAATACCAGATTTGTAATATTTTAGGTACCATGCTCTTTTTTTTTTTAAATTCCATGAGCCTTGGTATGATCTGTATCTAGCCATGAAATCTCTGGTTCCTTTTCATCATGGTTAATGTGCATGATTTTTAAGTAGGGTTGTCAGCTATGAAGTGGGAAATACCTGGAGATTTTAGGGGTGAAGCCTGAGCAGGGTAAGGTTGGGGGGGGGGGACCTCAGCAAGGTAGAATGCGATAGAGTCCACCCTCCAAAGCAGCCATTTTCTCCAGGGGAATTGATTTTGTTCACCTGGAGACCAATTGTAATAATGGGAGATCTCCAGCTGTCACCAGGAGGCTGGCAACCCTGTCCTTCTGCTGTGTTTTGTAGTTATTGTTTTAATAGATTTGTCTTTAGATTTGTACATAATAGTCACAAGCATAAGAACATAAGAGACGCCAATGTTGGATCAGGCCAAAGGCCCATCCAGTCCAACACTCTGTGTCACACAGTGGCCAGAAATACCAGTGCCATCAGGAGGTCCACCAGTGGGGCCAGGACACCAGAAGCCCTCCCACTGTTGCCCCCCCAAGCACCAAGAAGACAGAGCATCACTTGCCCCAGAGCCCCTATCTATACCTTGTGGCTAATAGCCACTGGTGGACCTCTGCTCAATATGCTGATCTAATTCCCTTTTGAAGCCATCCATGCTTATAGCCGCCACCACTTCCTGTGGCAGTGAATTCCATGTGTTAATCACTCTTTGGGTGAAGAAGTACTTCCTTTTATCCGTTCTAACCCGACCGCTCAGCAATTTCATGGAGTGCCCACGAGTTCTTGTATTGTGAGAAAGGGAGAAAAGTACCTCTTTCTCTACCTGCTCTTTCCCATGCATAATCTTATAAACCTCAATCATGTCACCCCTCAGTCGCAATGCATGGCTAGGAATAAATACAGTGAAGCAACATGTTGAATACCGGCAAACAGATTGATGACTTACTGAACCAGTCCTCGAAAAATCGTCCCTGCTTGTGATCAGTGAACAGAGCATGAGCCAAACTGGCAGGTGTTCATATGTCCCTAGCCAGGAGTAAGCTACGATGTCCATGTTTGTACAGAATGCAGAACCGTATTTAAGACTAACTGTGGTTAACAAAACAAAGTATGAATCCAGTGGCACCTTTAAGACCAACAATGGTTTATTCCTGGCATAAGCTTTCGTATACGAGCACATGAAAGCTTATACCAGGAATAAAACTTTGTTGGGATCCTTCTTGCCTTACGCTTCCTGCCCTCCTGCATCAATGGACTGTTCAAAACTGAAGACATTTTCAGTGAGTTATCTACTACAACGCCAAGATCTCTTTCTTGATCAGTCTCTGCCAGTTCAGACCCCATCAATGTGTATTTATATTTAGGATTTTTGGCTCCAATGTGCGTCACCTTGCACTTGGACACATTGAACCCCATTTGCCATGTTGACGCCCACTTGCCCATCCTTGACAGATCCCTTTGGAATGCCTCACAATCCTCACTGGTTTTCACCACCCTGAACAACTTCGTATCATCCGCAAATTTAGCCACTTCACTTGCTTACTCCCAACGCCAAATTATTAATGAATAAGTTAAAAAGCAATGGACCAAGTACTGATCCCTGTGGTACCCCACTGCTTACCACCCTCCACCGAGAAAATTGCCCATTTATACTCACTCTCTGTTTTCTATTAATTAGCCAGTTTTTGATCTTGTCCTTTTATCCCATGATTTTTGAGCTTACTTAGGAGCCTTTGATGAGGAACTTTATCAAAAGCTTTCTGGAAGTCAAGGTAAACAATATCTATTGGATCCCCCTTGTCCACATGTTTGTTCACTAATCACAGCACTGATCACAGAGGTGGCACTTTCGATTTAAACATAGCAAAGGTTAAAATACTGTACATCTCCTTTTGCAAATGTCCCCCATTTCACAAAATACTATTTAGACTTTCTATGGTGAATTCCATTTTATGCCTAAGGGATTTAAAGGGCCCATATTTCTCCCACCAATGTATTTATTTAGAAGAAGAGAAGAAGAGATTGGATTTATACCCCGCCCTTCACCACCGAAAGGTGTCTCAGAGTGACTTACAAACTCCTTTCCCTTCCCCTCCCCACAACAGGCACCCTGTGAGGTAGGTGGGGCTGAGAGAGCTCTTGACAGAAACGGCTCTTTTTCAAGAACAGCTCTTATCAGAACTACGGCTTGGCCAAGGTCATCCAGCCAGGTGCAAGTGGAGGAGTTGGGAATCAACCCCGGTTCTCCCAGATTAGAGTCCACGCACTTAACCACTACACCAAACTGGCTCTTTAAAACATTTCTATCCCCCCTGACCCCCTAAATTGTAAAGCAGCTAACAAGAAAATGTATATTATTTATTCAGAGAATGTATACGTTGCCTCTCTAGAGACTTGCTTGAGGTGACTCACAAAGCAAAAACAAATAAAATCATTTTTTAAAAAAACAATACAATTATCAATATTAAAATATAAGCCATGGATGCCTCTAATGCTTTGTGCAGTTGTATACTTGTCTCTGAAGTTTAGCAATAGTAGTTGAAGACCATAATATGGTAATTTACAATGACTCACAACAACCTGTCAAGCAGAGTTACACCCTTCTAAGCCCCCGACTTCACTGAATTTAGAAGGGTGTAACTCAATTTAAGATTGCGCTGATAGTCACACCTTTCTTCTAAGCAGGCACAGGCATATATTCATAATTCATCATTTTTATGCACATTTTAATCACAAGCATGACAATTAACACCTACTACATGCCACACTGCTCAGTACATATGTACAGTAGCACAACCCCTGCTCTCACAAACACATACTCTTTCTGCATGCAAAAAAGAAAGAGCAAATAGCCCAGGAGACAGTGTTAGAAGCACAAACTAATTTTCTTCATAATTTCCACTGCTACTGAACCACCTTACTGAAAATTATTTTCAGCAATTAATAATTATAACAATAAAAATCTCAAAAGCTAGGAACTCTATAAAGGTGATAGGTAGAGGGGAAAGAACGCATAAAAAGGGAGAAGGGTAGAGAGTCGGAGTTTAATAGTCTAGCGGGCCTGGGAGATGAGGTACATTTCCAAATACTGTTTAAATCATTGCAAGGAAAGAGAGGTGTAGATGTCCAGAGAGTTCAGTGTAGAGAATGCCAGAGTACTAAGCAGCAAAGCCAGGCCATATAGGTGCAACCCACAAATTCAACTTCTGCTTGAGGCATGAGGGTTTGGTTCACCTCTTGATGTCAAAGTACTGGAAGGAAGGAGGGAGCTGCAGGCATGCCTCTGCTCAGTTAAGTGTAAAATCATATTCCTATGCACAGTTCACGTTCTGTTCCGCTTGTTCTCCTCTGGTTCCAAACTTGTCCTCGCAAAGACATCCTTAGGCAGCATCTTTACAAATAAACTTCAGATATAACCACAGTGACCCCAGTGGTTTGTGCAGACAACCATGTCATCAAAGTAATCTTGGTACCAACAAGCGGTACAAATGAACGCTCACACATCAGCTTAGTCAGTAAAGCAATAAATAAATGGCGTAAGTACTTGTCTACGTAGTTATTGCGTAAGTGTATTTCTGTAAGCTACTGTGCAAGAATATATGTGTGGATAATAATGCCAGCAGAATTTACATGTAGGTTTTTGTCTTCCTTTGCGCAATTAATGACTGATACTGGTGTGTGTGGGAAGGTGCATCAGTGATATTTCCAAGGCTGGATTTGACCCTTTTAGAGAAGTGGGCAATATTTCATATAGCAGCTCCCTCTCCCAAAAAGCCAGCTGAGACAACAGGGAAGACCCGCATACATGGTAATTTCCCACAAGCGCTGCTCCGAGCTCACTCTTCTCTTTGGCCCGATGGTACATGTCAATTTCACACAAGCTGCTGTGTGGCCACATTTTGCCCTGCAGCTTCACGCGATTGCGTCTACCCAGTCCTGTTTTTTCATCAGGCCGACGTGCCAGCCTCCCAGTAGTATTACAAGCTGGCTAGGGAGGAACTTTGACTGTGGGAAGCTGACCCCCCCCCCCCGCCGCTCCTGTCGGCCTCTTAAGGTGCCAACCTAACGGGGCGAGGATTACAGGCTGACTGGCGGGAGGGCAGAGATCGACGAAAGAACACTGGATGGATGGGGATTGTGTGTGTGTGTGTCAGACATCCTAAAGTGTAAAAGAAAACTAGGCACAAAACAAAGAGAAGGGTCTTGGGTCCAAAAGACGGTGTGTGCGTGACACCCCGACCAGGACTCCCTCTAAGCTCCGAGTCTTGTAAGCCAAAACTCTCCTTTGCGAGCTACCGGCAGTAAACTTGTGGGCGAGCGGCTTGGCTGCTGCCTAACCGAGTCTGCTCTGGGGCCCCCTCCTTCCCGAGCGAGGACAAAGATGTGTGAGCCGGAGGCTAAGAAACGGTGAGCCAGCTCACACTCACTCAGCTTAGAGGGAGCACTGACCCGGACAGCTAAATTTTCCCCCCCCCCCGTTTCTCTTCCCCTAAACAGTTACCGTTAAGAAACAGAAGAAGAAGAGGAGGAAGAGATTGGATTTATACCCCGCCCTTCACTTGGAGTCTCAGAGCGGCTTACAAACTCCTTTCCCTTCCCCTCCCCACAACAGACACCCTGTGAGGTGGGTGGGGCTGAGAGAACTCTGACAGAAACTGCTCTTTCAGGAACAGCTCTGACAGAACTACGGCTTGCCCAAGGTCATCCAGCAGCTGCAAGTGGAGGAGTGGGGAATCAAACCTGGTTCTCCCAGATTAGAGTCCGGGCACTTAACCACTACATCAAACTGGCTCTTTAGGTTTGAAATTTTAAATTCACCACATCCCATTCTGTTTTGCGTTCCAGGATTGAGTCCAGTCCTTC